CTGGAGAAAGTGTCAAATTTATCGGAAGCAAGTAATTCAGAGAGCTTTATAAATATGAGCTTACAGCTCTACAATCATAACTGAATAAACATTCACACTTCATAACATTTCACTTCGTTTATTACGATCAGTCAACACCTTGAATCCAAAGTTAAAATTCAAAACGATCCTAATAAACAAATCACAACTACTACTGAAAGCTCTGTACCTTGAAGCGACTTTAACTTTCCTAAGGTTTGCAGCAAAACACTGCTTGATAGCTCAACTCTAGCTCTTCGGCGGTTCTTATCAGCTGTACGGATCGAGCTATATGTTGCATATTCCAAACTCTGCAGAGGGAAATTGTTTAACAGAAAAAGAAAACCACACACTATGTCTGAAAAGCGACATAAAATCAATAAATTAGCGAATTACCAAAATATAATCGTGAGAAACAGTCCCGCCTTCGATCGCCATGTTTTTGTTTCTTCTCAAGACCGTTGATCTATGGATTTTAACTTAATGCGCATGATCAGTACACAAATCCGCTGGCAAGACCTTTGCTGATCGCTTTGCAAGTTGTGAGAACATCGTTTGGATTTCATTTAAGAGAATGTATGGGAAGTAGCTTACCCCCCCCTGCTTCACACACTCTTCATTGTAATGACAACAGATGATTCCAGAAATATAAAACAGACGTGTGTTATATTTTCGCAAGCATAAGACTAATGTTTTTCGAGCATGGAAATTCCTTCGAAAAAAAGGCGAGTTGAGGAGATGCCTGACTTTGGTAAATGCATTATTTTCCAGGAAGAAACTAGGGAGTCACTTGTTCAGAGTGTGAGTGAAGAAGCTTATGCAAGTGTTTTGCACTTCGCGCATTCTAGAACCGCGTACGGTGAAAATGAGTTTGCTACCATCAGTAGATTACTGGAGGGGGTATCGGCAGAAGAATTAAGACAGAATAATGCTTCTTTCCACGCAAGAAGCAGGAAACGACTTTTAAATTCTGCTTTGCTGAAACGTGCTGAAGCGAGATTCGAGAAGGCCGCTGCGTCACAAAATACTTCAATCCTTTCACGTCCTCCTGGAAGGCCGTCTTTTGCTTCGCAGACAGCCTCTTCTACACCCGTCGCTTTCCATGGTTTAACAGAACAAACTTCAAAGCGGATTCTACGTTCATCCACAGCTACCTTCAATAAGAAGTTATGTTTCTTTTGCCAGTCACACGACGACAAGCAGGACGTTCATGTAATACAAACTGAGAACAGGAGAAAGCAACTTTCAGAGTTCGTTAAAAACTGCCACAATGACTTGTACAAAGTTTGTTTAACCAGCACAATAGAACCAGAATATGCTTTGCTGAAAGATGTGCATTATCATCGTTCCTGCTGGATGAAACACGTGATACGCGCCATGACGCCTGAGGATAAGGCTAGAGCTGACGCCCAAGATTCTGAGCAAGAAAACAAAGTTGCTGCTGATATAGAATTTCTGCATCTCATCCAAGAGCTTCTAAAAAAAGGAAAGATACTGAGTCTGGAAGACGCTCGAAAGGTGTACACGAATATCTTACAAGATCATCTGTGCAACTGGTTTCCTAGTAGAAAATCTGTGAGGCACCTGTTAGCAGAGAATGTTGATGGTATCGAGTTCGTAAGTGCATATCGACGAAACGAGTCCGATCGCTCTTGCCTATCTGCTGCTAAGATCGCCGCCATAGAGAAAGCCGTTAAACAGTCATCGCACATTAATTGCGAGCTGAGCTTGAAGTCCTTTATGACTGCTCAAAGATAATTCGCAAAGAAATCCAGGAGGCAAATACTTGGCACTTGAAAGGGCGGTACGCTCGACATAGATGCACAAGATATTGTCCCTACCAAGCTCTTTACATCACTCAAGTGGATACTTTCGGGCGTGGTTTCTGAACTGAAAACGGAGCAGCGAGCGAAAGATGTGAACAGAAAGTCAGTTCTCCTTGCGCAGCAGATTATGTACGAAACCAAGACTGATAGGCAAGTCAGATACGTGCGTCAGTTAGATGAAGAAGGGAAGACATTTCGTCACCAGCGCGAGTACCTATTGCAAGTTGGGGTTGGCCTCCTTGCTCACCAGAAAATGAGAAGTAAATCAGTAATTGATGCTCTACATGAGTTGGGCGTGTCAGTTAATTATGCGAGGATTCTACGCATAGAAACTCAGCTTGCGCAGGCTGTTCTGAGCAACTCCAGTGACCACAACATCTTTATACCTTCAAACTCTGTAAGGGCCAGTTTAGTTTTTTTTAGTGTTGACAATTCCCATTTCTCAGAAGACACCCCCGACGGAAAGAACACACTTCATGCAACCGCGATGGTTGTGTTCCAGCGAAAACGTACTAAGGATCCTGAAACTATACTGGAAATTGATGCGACTATGAGGACCAAGTCCCTTTCATAAGAGTCAATACCTGACACAGAAATATTACAGTGTTATATCCCTAAGAATGCGCAACCAAAGTGCTCCGGCTACACATTAGATACTACACCATCTAGTGATGTCACCAAGAAAGCGGAGCAAAATGACTTGGCGTGATCGGTAGGCAACTCAATCATCAGGTCTCGGTTGGAGCAAGTCAAAATCCCCACGTGGGTTCCATACAGTTCTCAGGTGTTGTCTTTGACCCATCATCTGACCACCGTTTCCATGATGCCTCTTCTAGCGGCTCCGGTGCATGAGAGGAGCACGATGCTCACAGTACTAATGCAGGCACAGAAGATCACGGCTGTGGTTATGGGAGAAAACCACAAGACTGTCATTACGTTTGACCTCCAACTATATGAGAAGGCTGTGAAACTCCAGATGCACAGGGCCTATGACTTAGACCACCTAGTTTTCCGAATTGGCGAGATGCACACGATAATGGCTTCTTTGCGCGCGCGCTCTTGGGGCATCAATCGATGGCGGTGGCTTTGACGAGGGATGGATAGAGGCGGGGCTGTATGGTTCAACCACAACGCGACAGATTCTTGAAGGAAATCATATGAAGCGCGCTCTCACAGCTCACAGCATAACGTACTCTGCCTTGAGCGATTTGCATATGGAGGCGTTTTTGAAGAGCGAAAGTGCTTAAAGTAATGCCGAGCACAAGACTGTATACGATAGTGTAATACAAGCACCCGTTGCGATGAACACCATCTGCAAGGAAGGTCGATACAGTGGGCGAGGGACGAAACACAAAGACCTTGTAACGGCAATGGAAACCGACGACCTTCAAGAGAGGCTATTGGGATTTGATGAGGTCATGGAGTCTCAGTGTCCATTATTCAAGTTTGCCCGGGACTACACGAAGTTTGTGATGTGTATCCTGATGTTCATACGCGCATCAAGAGAGGGAGACTGGAACCTTCACCTTGAATCTCTCAAGGCTTTGGCAAAGTATTTCTTTCCTCACGACAGGCTGAACTATGCGGCGAATGGTGCCACTATATCTAGCGCAGATGCACAGGTTACAGATGGATGATCCCGATATTCACCATGAATTCATGCAAGGAAACTTTTGTGTAAACAAAAATGATATCCCTTTCTGTGCCATTGGACCGGACCACGCTATAGAACACGTCAACAAGCTGATGAAGATTCGGGGAGGGCTGAAAGGTCTAACACAGCAACCAGCAGCCATGGCAAGATGGTTCCTTGTGACGCCAGAACTAAGTAGACTTGCGACGCAAGTTGACCACATGGTGGGGTTACAAAGAGCTTCATCATCGCATCATCACGATCTAAGCGATGCGATAACAAATCGCTATAATGATAATGTACAGAAGCTGAAGGATGTGCTCAAAGTGAGTGACCCTTTCGTGAAAGAGGGACGTCTTCTGGTGAACATCATCAAGAAAGCAGTAATGCCAGATGACATCAAGGAGGGAGTCCTAACACGAGATAAGATCGGCCAAACGTTGTTTGACACATTTGCTCAAGAGAGAATTGTCGAAGTCAAGTTAAGTGTTTGGAGCCCCATGAAAAAGGCAAATCTGAAGTCATGGAAGTCTGCTAAGCAAAAAAACAAAAACAAGACAACTTGTGGCGTCGCACCCTTATAGGATGATAGAGCTCTCTTCGCACGCTTCTTAGTCGTCATTCTCTCAAGGCCTGATCTTGACATAAAGGAACCCATCAGTACCTTTGAGTTAGCCGGGTATCCAAGGGCACTCTTCTTCTCTGATGGCAGTTTGCGACACTGCACTACCAAGAGCAAGCTGATGAACATCCTAAAAAGCCTTTTACCGGCCCAACAGCAACCACAAACGTCTACAGTACAACCTCACTCTGCAGATCCCTCCAGTAGGCAAGTGGTCATTATTGATGCCATGGCCGTCGTTCAGGCAATGGGAAAGCCACTGTGGGTAAGAAATGGGCGTCACCTAGCAAGCGATTTCATAGAAGTCATTGATTCTAAGTCTGAAGGTGCCACCAAGGTGCATGTTGTATTTGACCGCTACGATATCCCAAACTCCTTAAAGGAAGGAACGCGCCAGAAACGAACGGGCACAAGCAGAGCTGTGGTATACTAGATTACTGTGGATGCTGTTATTAACAAGATCACGATGAAGGATCTTTTGAGCTGCAGCCAGAATAAGGAGACATTGGCTATCTTCCTTGCAGCAAAACTTATCGAGTGCAAGAAAAACTCGCAGACGACGCATGTAGTAACCTCTAAAGCTGACTGTATGGCTTCTAATAGCGTACCGATTCAGCATTTAAGGAGTGAGCAGGAGGAAGCAGATACTCCTATGCTCCTACATGCTCTAGACGCCACAGAGAGAGGAGCAACGTCCATAACCATTCAGAGTCCAGATACAGACGTACTCATTCTGACGCTCTGGGTTAACAAGAGACTTTGTCCAGACACTACAGTGATTGTTGGAACAGGAGGAAAACGAAGAAGTATTCCACTAGGCCCACTCTACGAGGCGGTAGGAGAAGAACTTGTGAAGGCTTTACCTGGCTTTCACGCTTTTTCAGGATGTGATCAGACAGGCACTATCAGTGGAAAAAGCAAAGTGTGTTGTTGAAATACACTAAAGAAAGCCGAACGATCAGTACTCGATGCCTTTTCCAGCCTGGGAAC